ACCATTTTTTTTTTTTTTTAACATTTACTTATTTTTTAGAGAGTGCAAGTGGCGGAGGGGTACAGAGAGAAGGACAGAGTATCCAAAGTGGGCTCTTCGGTGACAGGCTGACAGCAGTGAGCCCGAGGTGGGGCTTGAACTCACAAACCTCAAGATCATGACCTGAGCTGACGTCGGACGCTCAACCGACTGAGCCAGTCAGGTGCCCCCCAATTTTTGTTTTCTTCCCCGGTGGCTAACTTCACAGTCTAGCATGTGAAATGCAGAATTTGGAGACAGGATTGTGCTGAGCTCAAGGGAAGGTAGGTGTCATGCTGGAACCTGCAAGTGATGTGGGTGCAGGCACGGACCAGATATTGGGTGCCTCTGTGCCTTGGTGTGACCTAGGGTTTTTGTGCAGGGTGTGGAATGGCCGCCTTGTATTAGTGAGACCATCGCTTGTAGGGGGAGGGGAATATACATTAGGAAGATGGATTCATCAGGGTCCTGGGCACCCCAGGGGGTTACATGTTGTGTCAGATTTCCTGTGCGTGGGGAATCTGCATTCTCATGAGTCTGGGTGGGAGGAGCCACTCTGCCCCTTGTCGCCTTTCTTTCTGGAAGCCAGAAAAGGGAGAAACGTGGCATTACCCTGGAGCTATATGGGGCCGTATTCTAACCTGGCCATGCTCGACTCCTAATTTGGAGCTGGGAATAGGCTCTCAAACCCAACTGTGTCCAGGGACAGTGTGTCTTCACTAGGCCAGGCCAGGCCAGGCCAGGCCAAGATTTTGGCCATGGTCAGTCTTAGTTTGTGGTGTGGGGGCATTCAAGAGAAGTGTTGGTTCACTGCATTTGTATGTTCATTCGTGCTTCTTTTGAAGCTTGGAAAGATTGTGTTGGTCAGACAACTGAAGGGTTAACAAATAAATTAAAATTAAATTTGTAAAGCAGTTAAAGTATTTCAGGCATTTAGGATTTACAAATTAAGGGTGCGTGGGTGGCTCAGTTGGTTAGGCGTCCGACTTCAGCTCAGGTCATGATGTCCCAGTTCGTGAATTTGAGCCCTGTGTCGGGATCTGTGCTGACAGTTCAGAGCCTGGAGCTTGCTTCGGAATCTGTGTCTCCCTCTCTCTCTGCCCCTCTACTACTACTCTCTCTTTCTCTCCAAAAAATAAACATTAAAAAAATTTTTAAAGTGGCGCCTGGGTGGCTCAGTCAGTTGAGTGTCCGGCTTTGGCTCAGGTCATGATCTTATGGCTTGTGGGTTGTCGGGCTCTGTGTGGACAGCCCAGAGCCTGGAGCCTGACTCAGATTCTGTGTCTCCCTCTCTCTCTGCCCCTCCACTGCTCACACTCTGTCTGTCTCTCTCTCTCTCTCTCAAAAATAAATAAACATTAAAAATTTTTTTGAGAAAAAAATTACAAATTTAACCTTCCAGAGTTATTGCTAAAACCTACCGGATCTAAAAAAAAAAAAAAAAAAAAAAAAAAAAAAAAAAAAAACCCCAACAAAACCAAAACCCTGCTAGATTTAAATAGAGGACAGAAAATTAAAATACATGGATGGGGAGACTTAATTTTGTTAAGATGAGAATATTACCAAAGCAGGCTACAGAGCCAGTGCAATCCCACTGCACTGCATAGAAAAATCCATCCTAAAATTATTATTATTTTTAAAAATTTTTATTTATTTTTGAGAGAGAGAGAGTGTGAGCAGGGGAGGGGCAGAGAGAGGGAGATGGAGCATCCCAAGTGGACTCAGTGCTGATAGCAACGTGCCCAATGCAGGGCTCGAACTCCTGAATGGTGAGATCATGATCAGAGCTGAAGTCTGATGCTCAACCAGCTAATCCACCCAGGTGCTCCCATCCTAAAATTAACATGGAGTCTCAAGGGATCCCAAATAGTCAAAAGAGTTTGAGAGAGAAGAATGCTGGAGGACTTGCATTTCCCAATTTCAAAAGTTACTACAAAGCTACAGTAGACAAAACACGGTAGAACCATCATAAAGACAGATACACAGACCAAAGCAATAGATCAGAGATCCCAGAAATAAAGTCCTTGCATATATGGTCAGTTGGTTTTTGACAAGAGCACTGAGACCATTCAATGGGGGAAAGGGAAGCAGTCTTTTCAAAAATGGTGTTGAGAAAACTGGATATCCACATGCAGAAGATGAAATTAGACCCCTACCTCACACTATATGCAAAATTAACTCAACACGGATCAAAGACCTAAATGTAAGAGCTAAAATTATAAAACTCTTAGAAGAAACATAGGGGGAAATCTTCCTTGAATCTGACAATGATTTCTGGGATGTGACGCCAAAGTACAAGGAAAGAAGAAAAAACAGATAAATTTGACTTCATAAAAATGAAAAACTTGTGCATTGAAGAACACTATAGAGTGAACAGTTAATCTGCAGAATGGGAAAATATTTGCAAATCATATATCTGATGAAAGGTTAATATGCAGAATATACAAAAACCTACAACTCAATAACAAAAAGCAAATAACTGATGAAAAACAGGCAAAGAATAAATAAAAAATAAAGATACAAAAATAGGGGGGCCTGGATGCCTCAGTCGGTTGAGTGTCAGACTCTTGGTTTCAGCTCAAGTCAGGATCCCAGGACTGTGGGATCGAGCCCTGTGTCAGGCTCTGTGCTGACAGCACAGAACCTGCTTGAGATTCTCTCCCTCTCCCTCTGCCCCTCTCCCCTGCTCGTGTGAGCGTACTCTCTCTCTCTCTCAACAAAACAAAACAGGCCAAGGACCTGCATAGACATTTCTTCAAAGATATGCACATAGTCAATGAGCACATGAAGTTGCTCAACATCGTTAGTCGTTAGGCAAATGCAAAACCCAAACTGCACGCAATACCATTTCAGACCCAATAGAATGAGTATCACCATGAAAAAAAAGGGAAATAGCAAATGTTAGTGAGTATATGGATAAATTTGAAATTTGAACTGCGGTATATTCCTGGAGGGAATGTAAAATGGGACACCTGCTGTAACAAACAGTTTGGTGTTTCCTGAAAATTTAGCCATAGAATTGCCAGGTCCTGCAATTCTACTCCTAGGTGTGTGCCCAAAATAATGGAAAGCAGGGACTCACACGTATACTTGCCTGTCAGTGTTCATTTATATCATACACAATAGCCAAAAGGTGGGAACAACCCAAATATGCGTCGGTGGGTAAATAAATAATCAAAATGCGGTGTAAAAACACAACAGAATAGTATCCAGCCATAAAAAAGGAGTGAAGCTCTCACACACGCTACTACGTGGATGAATCTCGGAAACACGCTGGGTGAAATAAGCCAGAATAGACTGTGTGATTCTACTCACATGGAACGTCCAGAACAGGTAACACCGTAGAGACAGCAGATGTGTGGTTGCAGAGGGCATGATAAGGAGGGGTTGCAAGATGCCAGGTAAGGG